CATCACCTTAAACGAAATAAAGTAAATATTGCTGACGGGATTGAGAGAAATTTTAGATCAAAATGAATTTCGGTAAAAAACGAGAGAGGCGAAAAGGCAAAAAGAATCTTGCCATTACCAAATAAGTGGGCTGACCTCGTTTTCGCCAATCGGTCTTGTTGTCAGGGCGACCTAGTAGAACGCAACTCGTCCGAAGTCCTCTGCCATAGTAGCTATCCTAATTCTAAGCATCCGACCGTCGACTTGATATATTCGGCAGCATCAGACAGTCTTGCCATTCTCCGCACCATCCTCGACCAACGTTCTGCCGACTAAAACTCTTCATTTTGTCCTGGTCCATCTATCCTTACACTTTTATCCCACTCCCGCCGCATCAAAACTTCCCACTTGTTTGCATTCCACTCGCCAAAATGTACCAAGTCGCTGCGAGTGTGCCAAGTCCACAATCTGATGTTGGGAACTATGATAACTTTTATGGCAGAAGACAGAGGTGCGTTCAACTAAGTCGCCTTGACAACAAGACCAAGTTGCAAAAACAAGTTCAACCCACTTGTATGAATCGGAAGAAGATTGCTTGGTCTTGATATCCTTGACGTTGCCAAGTTGACTGGAGAAAAAAAAAGAGAAATGAGCCAGTGAAAGGCCTGCTTTGGGGTGGCTAACAAACGCCCTAACAACCGTTTTAGCCCCGGAGACGCAGAGAACAAGTTGCGACTCGACCGAAAGCATCATGTGAGCTCGAGCTCAAGTCGACTGACTTGCCTGGCTTGTCGCGTGTCTTCTTGCCGCGACGCAATAGGCCGCGTCGAGCTCGGGAACTGGACTCACGAGACGGTAACTGGGCGCTCTCGAGCTCACCGTCTGTCAGACTGGCCGGTCCGCCACGCGACATCTGCGAGCCTCGGCGTCGTCCGGAGCCCGGCCTCGGACGAGTCATAGACAGTGCCTGCTGTTGCCGGGCGGTGTAGGCGGGGTCGACGATCTCCTGCAACGCGAAGCAGAGGTTGCGCACCGCGCAGACGGAGTGCTCGATGGACTTGAGGTTGGTGAAACCGGCCTCTGCTGCCGCACGCAGAATCGTCAAGAGGGAGGGAAGAAAGCCCTCGCAGGTGCGAAGATGACTGCGCACCTCGGAGTCTTCGCTACTGCTCACGTTTCTAGGGGGCACGACAACAAACAGGGATTACGCGAGTGACATGCTGTACAACATTTAGACCATTTTGACGGTTTGGACTCGTTCAGCTGTGGACTCCTTTGTCCGATGACAAATAAAATAAAGGCAGCATTTTCTGTCTCACTATTTAGGTTTCAAGCTTTTAGTATTGTATTAATTTTATTGTTTACATTTTATTTGGTCATTCTTATTTTGTAGCCTTACATCTGAATTTCAGTGTAATTTCTTTCTCGCTTTGGCATGCACTAAGCTATCATTCTTTTAACTATATTCATGCTAACGAGTGAAGCAAATTCACCGGCTTCGACCGAAATTCGCTATGTATACCTTAATTTTACGTATTTGGATGAGGCTTAAAG